GGCAATATTGCAGCTTGGGACGTGAAGCTTTACATCCTTGTTCTGCTAGGTAGCAAAGAAGATTAATTGAGCATTGTTCTGTTGTGGGTAGATCATCTCCACAGTAAAATGGGAAGGGAACAAAGAACTGTAGTGTCTTTTCGTGGCAAAGGCGTATTTAATTGAACCTGGCCGTCTGCAGTGAGGGTGATGGATGCTTGGAGGCAGGATAGGACATCAGCACCAACACAAGAGACATCGGTGTCAGGCAGGAACGATGAGTCAGGCAGGTCTTGTTCTCTAGGAACACTGCGGGATGCACCTGTGTTAACCAGGAAACCAGGAAAGCAGTAGGGTGACCTTCAATAGGTAAAGTTACAGTGGCTAGTGGCCCCCCTTGTTCCCTGTAGACACTGCCATGGCAGGGGCATTAAGCATCAGCGGGTTTGCTCTCCTCTGTATGGGCTGTGTTACTGACTCAAACCCCTTTCTATGTCATTAGCCATAGCTTTTTGCAGTCTGAACATGTCTATCATTATAAATAATGGTTAATAGTAAGTTAAGTAAAGTTCCTATATGTCTTTGGATAAAACATTAACTATTGCGGTACTATCATTTATATTAATTAGACTATAACAATTATACCACCCTGTAACTAAGTAAACAACCAGTAGTGGCTGGGTTAATAAAACATGTCACAAACCCTTCTAATGCTAAACCATCATTTAAAGTAAAGGATGTTACTGTAAACATACGATCTGTAACTAGCAAGATTCGATTAAGCAAAGATACAATGTTTAAAATAACTTGCATTATTTGGCTATTTCCCTTGTTGCAAGATTAATCTGGATAATCAGCTGTTATGCTCTTATATTCGTGTCCAACAGATTTCATATGTAGGTCACACCACATTTGCAAATTACATTTTAGCAACCTTCTTTTTTTTTTTATATCACGGACAAATTGTTGATACAGGGAAACAAATGGCATGATTGTTTTAGTAATTATCTAAATGGGACGAGCATAATAGGGGTAGGCCTCATGATGGAGGCAGCCATGACAGGGGCAGGGAAGGAAATGACAGCAAGGGAGGAAGTGAGAGGGGTGACGTCCATGATATGTGTGGGAAAGGAAGACAGGAGGTGTGGGCATGGTAAGGGCGGAAGTGACGTTACTTTAGAAGCAACCGTGACTGTGGATAGGTCACGGGACTGGCAGGCGCCATCTTTAGGGTGGTGGTTGACGTACTTTCAACCATACACTATATTAAAACTATTAAAATAAGTCAGAGAAGCAACATTCTGTTCTGCAAAATGGAATACTAAACTATGAACAGACCTGGCAGGTTAAATAAGACAGTTGAAAACATTATGCATTTAACAGCCCATACAGCTGTCTTCTAGAAACATGTTCTTTAAAATGATGCAAGATAAACTCGCGGAATTCAACCTTATCTTCCTCAAACCATTAATCACTTTCCTCTTCACATACTAGCTTAACTCTGCATATTCCCTCTATCCACATTGCATAGTTTTGCAACAAATCACGCTTGCCTTTACACTTAACACGTCCAAATATTCCTCTATTCTTGTATCAGATTCACTTACCTCCGTAAATCAACACTGAGCTACATTCTTGTGTCTCCCCCACAATCCTCACTACCCTATCACAAAACACAATCCATATATACATATATATATATATGCATAAACGGCAAACGGCAACAATAATAATTTTATTACACAATTATAACACCATATAACCTTTGAATTAGAATATTTTCCAGCAAAAATCCTGTCTCTAACTCTTATCAGTAGAAATGCAGGCAAGCGGGGAGGAAAGGGGGGGAGAAAGTTAGACAGTGCAAAAAAGGGAGAGACTGCAGGCATGAAGATTAACCATGTGAGTGCTGTAAAGTAACAAGACAGAAGGACAGAGACTTATACGTTTGGAAACCAGAAATCTTTGACGGGAGAAACGGACTGGAGGTGCAGGGAGCTGCAGAGAGAGGATGAGGGTGACGAGATCTGTAGGACTGATGGGGGGGGGAATAGGGATCCATCAGCATCCAGTAACACAATTATTATAATACACAAACAATCTTAAACCTTTGTGATCAATTTCTTCCTCAACCTATCCCTTTTGCTGAATAGCTCTTGCTACTCGGTACCAGGCTTCTGCTGTACAAACCAAATCTTGGTCCGACAGCTTCCCTTTCTTCTGTCAGTAACTTACGCCAGCTCTCTGGCTACAATCTGCCGCACAGAGGTACGGTAATTCCACATACTTTAGCAATCTTCCTCACTTTCTTAACCATCTCTTCTCCTTCTCTGTCTTCCACTAGATCACATGCTAACCAACCCTTACTGGGTTTATCTAACTTCTGTCCCATCCTCCCTATACAAGGCGTCCCAGATATAGAGAGAGAAAGGAACAGAACGTCTACCGTGCTCGACTGCTACTTTAAGAGCAAGCTCTTTAAGTACGTCTTCCCAAAACGTAGACTAGTCACTGATTCCGCCTACCCGTGGTAGCCGCGGATTGGAGCGTGGCGAGAAGTGTGTGACCAATCACTTCTCTCAACAGAGAAAGAGAACTAGGAGGGGAAAGTGTAAGTAGTACAGTGAGTAAGATAAAAGTAAACACAGGAATCTGTGTGACAGACAATTAAGACAATAACATTTCAGTGTAAATACAGTGCATGCATCACAGTTCAAATAAGTTCAACAGTTTTATCCCTTGCCTTTACTCGTGTGGCCAAAAGCCACCTCCCTCAACCTCGTAGTGTCCCTGTTGCGGACCCACCCGCAAGTCTCACTACCAGCAGCCACAGGAAACAGCAACAGCTTCCAACCCGAATCCTGTATAGCCTAAAGAATTGGAATCTTACCTGCCTCAGCGCTCGAGGCTGGAATTTTACCAAGAAGAAGTGTCCAATGAGGCTAGCTAAGCGGTCAAAATGACACTCTGGGGAACCCCCAGGAAGCAATGAGTCTACATCATCCTCCACAGATTCCCCCTACTCTTTTTCCTTACAGCCACAGCCACGTGGCTCCTAAAAGAGTTAAACAGGCAATAGAGGACCCCCAGGAAAACTTCCACAGGTCCACCCCCCTTTTTCCTTACTACCACAGGCATGTGGTACCTAAAAGGGGTTAAACAGGCACTTACACTCCCCGGGTACTAAGTTAAACACATACCAATACAAACACACCCAGGCAACAGATAGTCAACATGCAGGTAAACTAGGTATCATTAACAATACAAAGACTCTGGGCAAGTTATTACCTGACTTTGATGTCCTCTCGGCAGCAGTCACAGACACTGGGACAGGTCAATCACAGGGGTAGGAACATACCGGCTAGGTGCTGCAGCAATCTCTACCGTGTATTCAGAGGTGATCAGGCTCTTTTCCTTCCCCCAGGATTCAGCCCCCCCAGCGTCTTCTTGGACAGCTGCCCAGACTGGACATAGCCCAGAGCCCCACGTTGAGCGCCAATTGTTCTAGATAATTTACTGCAAACCAATTAGTTTGAATGACTATCTGTTCCTGTCCAAATTAAAGATAATAAAGTTGCGTGCACGCAGAAGTAAATTCACACTGAGACACAAGGTTCAGGGTAATGAAAGAACTTCAGAGAAGTTTAATGGCTTCTGACAGAAAATGGGTGCGCAGACCCTTATAAAGGCATTATTACATCATTGAAGAAAATCAAGATATAGACAAATAGACATTGTTAATTGGCTTAGGTGCTAAGATGTTAGTAAAATGCCCTCCCCATTCTTAGGTCACTATCTACGTAATTTCTTAACTCCTACAGGTTTTAGCGCCATTTTGTTAAAATGAGGAGCTCACTCGACGGGAGGGGCCTTTTGGCAGCTATCCATTTGGAGCGTAGCTGGCACTTGTTAGTTTCTCAAGGTTAAGTTTCAAGGATTTTAGTAAATACACATTTTATCAAAGCTATTTCTTGCTGACATGCAAATTCTATGTTCTATAGACAAAGCTTCCTTGTAAAACTATGGGGGCCTCTTAGAGGTATAGCAAGAGGATTTAAAGGGGCCTTACAAATTTATAGAGGCCTAATAATTCTACAACAAAACTATGTAATTCCCGTTACACTCCATTTCATTGTTGCAGTAATAGCCCATCGATAACCATCACCATTTCCTGTATCCCTATTCCTCTTCAGTTATTGTCTGCACCCACAACTATATTTACCTGAAACAGGAAAATAATTATATTATCCATGTTGATATAACCTTCAGTATGCATTTATTTTATTGCCGCACAGTCATTGTGCAATCAACACAGATCCCAAAATCTAACCTATAATGATCTACTTGTGAACAAACCCATTTTCCTGCTTGTAGTCAGATTTCCTCTAAATCACCACAACCTTCTTATTCTTCACATAAATATACCTTCCGTTCTAAAGCCAGACTTACACATAGAGACATATTTTCAATTACTAATCCACTTTCTTACTAGCTATATTTAAAAACCCACAAAACTTTAGCTTCCATTTAACAGTTACCTGCTCTCTTCTAAGCTCAGTTATTGTGAACAACAGTACATTTTAGGAACTGGAAGATCTCACTTTGGTGGGTAAACTTTTTCTGCTCCACCAAGATGCAAATGACTTTGCTTTCCCAGTCATGCTATCTATAAAGTCAAAGCATCATTATGATGTCATGCATTGAAAGTCTGTGACGTGTGTGTTGTCATTACCACGGACTGTTTACATGCCACCAGTTGCCAAAGAGTTAAAAAGCATGAATTTATCCTGAGAATTGTGTACAATGGTAAATGAAATTGTGGAACACAAAGAAATGAAACTTTTGTGGGACTCATTAGTCTGCTCCACCAATATGCAAAATTATTTGCTTTTCAATTTTATGTCAAGACACGGAGGCTCATATTGCATATCCCTTTCTTTACTGTCCACCAATAGCAGCAAAGGATACAAACAGTAAGAAAAAACAGTAACCATAGAGATAGGACACTCCCATATCAAGTGCCAGTATAATAGGCAGCACCTTCCCATCCAATTCCTCTTTCTCTGCTGCTACCAAACAGATAAGTACATGACTAATTCACTCTATCATAGCCTTATGGTTTTTTGTCTACTGTTTTTCTACACTGTTGACTTTTTCACTGCTGATAACTTTTACCATTCACTGGTTTATTATTGCTGGTAATTTGTATATATTTTGACTTTATGTGTATATTTTGTTTGACCCCAGGGTTCTAGACCCCTCTGTCCGGCTTAATTCTACTCTACCTTTACTGGTACCTCCTTGTTAAGCTCTAGGGCTTCCTTTTCTCCCTCCATTACACTGCCGGTCTGCCTGTCACTTTGGCGCCCTTTTCGCCCATTCTCCTCCTCCCATTCGGCTGTTCTTTCTCCTGTTATTCCCTCACACTGTTCGGGTATTCACAAATTCACCCATTCACATTATTGCCTTAGTCACCTTCTATTCTCCTGTTGCCGCGTTCGAATTTTCTATGCGAACGCCTGACTCATTCACCTTTTATGTGTTTCCCCTATGACTCCATATGCATTCACTATTTTCAGCCGAACAGTCGGCTCTTTCTCCCTATTCGGCTAGAATTCTGCCGCGAATCTCACGAGATTGCTGGCGGACATTTTCTATCACTCACTTTTCTCCCCATTCCTCGTGTCCTCTTCCTATCTGCCGGTCTGGACCCTGGTGAGTGCCCTCATTTTCTCCCTTTTAGCTATAACTAGCCTGGGGTGATTAACTCCCGCTAGTTGCATCCTCCTCTCCTAGAACAGTGCTTCCTAATATTTAGCAGCTCTATATAATACTTTATATTCTCTACAAAATATATATATTTTATTTGCGTCCTGAAATTACTATTCCTTGTTATTATGCCTAGACCTAAAGGGGCTGCTTCCCTTCTTCCCCCTGGGGATATGGATATACCCCATGTGCTGGATAACCCTAACACTGCCAGCTCTGGCCCCCCTTCTTCTGCGGGTGACCCTATGTCAGTGCCGGATGATGCCCAGGCCCTGGCACTGCAACGTTCCATTACAGACGCCATTATGGCCGCCATGGGCTCCATGTCCTCGGCCCTGTCCCAGACTATATCTCAGGCCTTATTGGCACAACCTGTGCCCGCAGAAGCATCGGCCACACCTACGGGCTTACCGCGCTCCTCCTTAAACCCCTCAGGGGACAATCCTAGAAAGGCCAAATCTAGGCACCTAAGCCCTCCTGCCTCCAGAAACAACAAGACTGGTGTGAAAATATCCACCCATGATAGCGTGCCTATGTCACGCAAAAGAGCCTTTCCGCGCCAGGCAGAACGGGCGCGGCACTGGAAATGTGCCAGAGCACATGCAGAGAGCGACTCCGACTCAGAAATCGGGTCTTGTGAGGAAGCTATAGATGAGTCTGGAGATGACTCCAATAACGAGACTGACGGGCAGGACACTGACCCTTTCGCCCCTACCCTATCAGGGTTGGCAATTAGTGGCTCTCGCAGCGACTATCCCGCTACCGCGGGTTCAACCCTCATGGACCCGGCTGGGGAACCTATGTTTGACCCGGATGCTCTCCATCACCCGAGGTCGGCAGAATGGCTCCCAGCCGCCCATATAGCAAAATACCTAGAGAACTGGGTACGGCGCCCCCTTAGCAAGACAGCGCGCAACAAGCTCAGGGCAGAATGTCCTAGACCCCTGATCCCCAATAAAGTCTGTGAGACTCCTATTGTAGACCCTAAGATGACGCAGTTTCTTTCTAAGATGGGTTGGAATCCCTGTAAGGGTTTGGACTCAGCATTAAAATCATGCCAGGACAAACACCTGGACATTTTTGGCCCCCTAGCTAAATTATTCGACCTGGCTGAGCTAGACAGAAACGAGAACAGACAGGTCGACCCGGAAGAACTCCGTGGTTGGGTACAGTGGGCAATCTGCATAGCAGGTAGCGTTAACACCTCCCTGTCTATAGAGCGGCGTAAAGCCATCCTTTTCAAAATCGAGCCTAAGTTGGCCAACCTTGCCCTCACAGAAGCGGGCAAAGATGCCCAGGGCCTGTTATTCGGAGACTCCTTTATCAAGGATTTGGGGCGCTTCGTAGGTGCTTTCACAGCCCTAGACAAGGCCCAGTCCTCCATGAAGAGGGTGTTTCAGGGACGGGTCTCTACCATTTTCTATCACTCACTTTTCTCCCCATTCCTCGTGTCCTCTTCCTATCTGCCGGGCCGGCAGATTCAGGGGCCGTCTGTCCGGCCGGTCAAATTTCAACTCCCGAGGATCGGGACAAGGCTCTTATAATCAGAGACCGCCTTATCAAGACACAAGGCACCAGTCTCCCTTCTTCCCGTCTCGTGGAAGACCATGGAGCTCCAGAAGCTTCAGAGGGAACCCCGGTTCCAGACACCCTTACGGTAAGACTACACCTACCTCATGTTTTTTCCAATACCTGTGTAGGGGGCAGACTCCGTAATTTTTTCCATGCCTGGTTAGATATCACCTCAGATACCTGGGTTCTGGCCACTGTGAGGGGGTTTCACATAGAATTGGTAGACACCCCGTATCGTATTCCCCCCCTCACCCTATGGTACTTTCAAAGGCAAACCGTGCCTTAATAGACGAGGAGCTATTGTCACTCCACACGAAGGGAGCAATAGAACGAGCTCCGCTGCCCCATTCTGGTGTCCTCAGCAACATCTTCCTTGTGGAAAAGAAAGGCGGCCAGATGCGCCCCGTTATAAACCTTCGGACCCTAAACTCCATAGTGCGCTACCGCCACTTCAAAATGGAGGACATCCACCTCCTTCGAGACTTACTCCTACGCGGAGACTGGATGGCGAAATTAGACCTCAAAGATGCTTATCTGACAGTCCCGGTGACCGAGTCATCCAGGGACCTACTACGATTCCTTTGGAAAGGCGAAACGTGGCGATTCACATGCCTCCCTTTCGGACTCTCATCAGCTCCGTGGTGCTTCACCAAATTGATGCGACCGGCCATGGCGTGGGGTAAGACTGATAGTCTATCTGGACGATATCCTCCTCATGGCACAAGATCGGGGGGTCCTCCTAGAACACCTTCAATGGACAATGGATCTACTGTGTCGGCTGGGTTTCCTGCTCAACGAGGAAAAATCCTGCCTATCCCCTTCCCGACACATGGAGTTCCTAGGGTTCACGGTAGACTCAGAAGCGGAGTCTCTCAGCCTCCCTCCGGCCAAAATATGCTCAATCCGCAAGGAACTGCGACGAGCCCTGACGCACCACCAGCTGTCGTTACGACACCTGGCACAACTCATTGGACTACTGGCCTCCTCCACCCAGGCAGTGTTCCCAGCTCCGCTCCATTATCGGGCCCTCCAGCACCTGAAGATAGCACACCTTCGCAAAGGGGCCTCGTACGCAGATTTGGTCTCCCTGGACTCGGAATCCCGAGACGAACTGACCTGGTGGATCCACAACCTATCCGCCTGGAATGGCAAGGCCATCTTCGGCTCTCAACCGGAGTTCACGGTGGACTCGGACGCAAGTCTCCACGGCTGGGGCGCACACTGCAACGGTGTGACCACCGGGGGTCGCTGGACAGAAGCCGAGTCCCGACTCCACATCAATGCCCTGGGACTACTAGCCGGTTCCTTTGCGATCCGGAGCTTTGCGAACGGCATGGCCAGTGCATGCATCAGGCTACGTATGGACAACATTTCAGCGGTTCGCTATGTCAACCACCTGGGCGGCACATGCTCAGCGATACTGGCCTGTTTAGCGAAAGATTTCTGGAACTATTGCTTTGCCAGGAACCTGATGGTCCAGGCGGAATACCTCCCCGGCCTTCACAATACTCATGCGGATTGGAGCTCACGCTATCTATCAGACAGCAGCAATTGGAAATTGGATACAGAGGTGTTCTCCACTATCTCGTCCCTCTGGGGGCCCTTCACCATCGACCTCTTCGCTTCCAGGCTCAACGCCCAACTACCCCGGTTCTACAGCTGGCGTCCAGACCCGGCCGCGGAAGCAGTGGATGCCTTCCTACAGGAATGGTCTGACTCACACCTTTACGCTTTCCCTCCATTTGCCATGCTTCCCCGAGTGCTACTCCAAGTACGACACCAGATGGCGGATTTGGTCCTACTAACCCCATTCTGGGGTACCCAGTCGTGGTCCCCACAACTCCTGGAACTGGCAATAGACGTTCCCGCACTCCTGCCGTCCAACCAGGACCTTCTGCTGAACCTGTTGGGCCAACAACATCCACTCCTACTGGACGGATCGTTACGACTACTCGCATAGAGGATTTCAGGGGTCCTTGGGAAGTCCAAGGAGTTTCGGACACAACTCGACGCCTCCTGGCTGACGCATGGGCTCCCGGCACTAGACGCTCATACGCGACCGCTTGGAGAGCTTGGACTGGTTGGTGCTTGGCTAGGGACCTGGATCCCGTGGCGGCTCATGTGACGGCGATACTCCAGTTCCTCACATCATTATTTGAAGCGGGCCGAGCATAACGAACGATTAACCTATACAGATCGGCCATCTCCTCAGCTCATCAGGGTTTCAACGGCTGCCCAACGGGCCAACATCCCTTGGTGTGCCGTTTACTCAAGGCTTCACGCCTCTCGCGTTCCCCCAGACCTCGATACACAGCCACATGGGACGTATCCTGCGTCCTATCACTGTTTTCCTCCTGGCCGACCAACTCGGACCTCACCCTGCAACAACTCTCTGCCAAGTTGGTATCACTATTCTGCCTCATTTCGTGCAAACGAGTCTCAGAGGTACGTGCCCTGGACCATGATGCGAGATCCTTCACCCCGGATGGGGTGACATTCAATATCTCCAGAAGGACTAAGACGGCCATACGTTCAGTCTCGTACCCGAGTTTCCCAACTACCCCTAAGTTGTGCCCAGTGACCTGTTTGAGAGAATACGAACTTCGGACGAAGGCCCATCGGTCGGCTTCAACTCCTCAACTTTTCCTCTCAATCCGTCAACCCTTCGCCCCAGTATCCAACACGACTCTGGCTCGTTGGGTGAAGTGGGTTATGTCACAGGCGGGTGTAGACACATCCATTTTTAGCGCCAACTCCACACGTGGGGCTTCAGCCACTTCTATGGCCTCTTCGGGGGCACGCCTGGAAGACCTTATGAGAATGGCGGACTGGTCCAGAGAATCCACCTTCAAGGAATTCTACTTTCGACCTCAGCCTCACGTTTTCTCGTCGGTCATTGCTCAGCTTTAAACATGCAATATGAGCCTCCGTGTCTTGACATAAAATTACATGATTTTGCTATTTCATGACGAAAAGTCATGATTTTATGAAAGACACGGAGGCGAGTATTGCCCCTCCCTTTTACTTATTTGTATAACCTTTTTCCCCCCCTGTTATATCTCGTTTTAGGGCGG